TCTCAAAGACCGGCAGGATTGCTGTGTGCATATTTTACTCTTTTATAAATAAACTGTAGTGAGTGCATCTAAGCTTGTGTGCGTGTGTAAGAGAAAGAGCTAGAGAAAAGCCAATGAAGAGTCACCTGGCATTTCATCTATGGCTTTTAGTGTGGACGCTGAAACGAATATCTATTAGATTTCTTTGAGCAATGTCCCAGTGTCTTAGATGGGCCTCTCTTTTGAATGAGAGTCCTAGAGGACAAAACAAATGTATGTTATTCCAGCACAATTCTTTGCCAAACCTTTTTTCCCCCTCTTCTCCCTCTCCCTTTTTAGAAAGATTAGTTTCAGCTCTGCTTTTCTGGGACTATTCTCTGTCGGTTTAGGGATGTAATAATGATAGATGCTCAGCAGTTCTCATTTCTTTTGTACTTTATAAACATCCTTTATGTCTGGAACTTGAAAAAAGTCTCACAAAGTATCATTTAATATGTCTCCTCTCCCCTTGCTCTTGGATGTTATCTATATAATTCACACACAAAAAACATGCACTTGAGTTCTGTACCTTTGCTCTCTAAATAAGTGGTCTCCTGAAAGCTACCTGGATTGATGCGACTAAGTCACAGTATACATTAGTACTCAAGTTGGAAATTAAGCTTGGAATTGTTGAACAAATAGTTTACTTTCTACTAAGGTGCACACTGAATGCTGTATAGTGAGCTCTTTGGAGCGCTGGCAGGAAAGCACCACCAAGCACGTCCAAAACTAATAACAAAAAGGTTACTATATATAAAACATTTATACATCCCAAACTGCCTCAAGTTGTTTAAATTTCGGTTTCGTGCACATAAATATAGCAGCCATGCGGTTCCCCATATCCCAGTTCTCGCTTTTTAAATCAATTCATTTCAATTTGAAAGGAAGGCCCCAGACACAAGTCACAATCAACAATCGTTTAGCTTTCTAACACTAGACATGCACCTTATAAAGAAACAGTATTGGCCTACGTTATCTCAAGTCCATATCTTGATAGCCTGACGTTGTTTTTAAGAAATAGTCAAATCAGCGTAACAATCTTCATTTGTGTTCCTTTATAATGCAGGTATTATTAACAGCATTCTTTTAAAAGAGAAGGGAGAATGAATTCTGCACATGAGCTATGGATTGGACTTTTGCAAACCATAATCTCTGTAAATATAACTTTTTCTATAGTATGTGCATTAAAATCAACCTAAGAATACTGTATGTGGACACTTGAAATGTTCATTAATATGCAATACAGAATTTGAATGTATTTAACAATACTGTTATGAAAATCATTTCCATACGTAATACTTTATGTTGATATTCAATATTAAAATGAAATTGACTATAAAACACCTACATATAAAATAAACATGCCTATTCTGGTGTATTGTCTTGTCGGTGAGATTGTCTTGTAAAAGCTACCGATTTTGTATTTTAAATATAATAATTGAGATGGTGTTATAGTTTCCTCTCACTGAAACACGCTATAGAATTGTTCAGAAAAGTTTTTAAAACTTTTCCTTTTGGCAAAAAGAAACAAAAAACAAAACACCCACACACTCATAGCTTCCTCCCATTCAATACACCTGTTTTGGAGTTGCAGTTTTCAGCACATACTTCCAAAATATATTCTGACACAATTTTCAATTGCTGTGCAAGGACTTTTGAATGATAACTTTGTATCTCATTTTTTATTAGCCGTAAGTGTAAACTGCAAGGAAATGTGATTATTTAAACCGATGCCCAACCTATTATGTTTAATAAAGAAGCAAAGCAATAGACAAAGATCAAATTTTCACCTCATTACTTCTCCTATCTAGATATTCGTTGTATGTTTTTTGTTTCTTTGTTTCTTTGTTTTAAAGTGAGCAGACACTAAATCTTATTGAAGGACAGAAATCTCTTCATTCACACACACTCAAAGTGTTTTTTTACTAAGATGTCCTCCCATTACAAGTACATAATAAAATAATAATACAATAATAAGAATACATCTAATTCTTCAGTGAAGAGGGATCGGGGAATTCTGACAGAACTCAAAGTCCCCCTTCTTTCCTTTATACACATCTCCTCTCAAAAAAACAGTCCTAGCATTAATCAGTTTTTAGATTGCTTGTTTTACTCTTAATTTTTAATTGTAGTACTTTCATTATAAAGTTTATTTAACAATTTGCTGAATAAAACGAAGCAAAGCAAAACAAACAAAGCAAAACAATTCACAGCCTCTTGCCCCTATCTATCCTTCCCCTCAAGGAGGCTAAATGCACGTATACAAACTAGCATACAAAAAAGAGAAAGTCCAAAACTAATGTCTTCGAATGCTAACTACCATGCACAAGCACAAATGGTTAGGGCCTGTACTGTCCTAACCTTGAGAGGGGGGCCACTCTAACTTCAGATGCTGTAGTATAGTTCTCTCTTGCCTGTAAGACTGACTGCTGACAGGAAACTTTTTAGTAATGCTTAAGAAATATATATCTAGGTATACACACAGAGAGACAGACTCATACTAGCCCTGCATCCAGTCATAGTCGTAATAACAACAACAATAAATTTTAACAGGAGTGGAAATGGAGTTTTGGAGGCAATTATTCAACAAAGTGTCCTTAAGACTTATAACCACACTTTTTTTCCTTTAGTATATGGTTGCTCGCTTATACTAAACAGGACAACTTTAAAAGAAAAAGAAAACCCAAACTTTATAGAGTTTCATTTTTTTATTTTAGTTTACTTTAACTACTGCTACCTGCTGACAATTTACCATCTCTGGAGAGATATTTTCTTCTCCATCATTCTGTCTCAATTGCACTTTAATTTCTGTGGTTGCAAATGTCTTACTATTTTCTGATTTCAGGGAACTAAAAAGGGGGAGAAAACTTGAATATATGCTTCAAAAAGGTTTCAGTTTATAGCTATCAGTAACACCAAGAGACAGCTCCATTAAAAAAAGTAGTTTTCCACTGCTCTTCAAAAGCCGTTATTTTTTACATCGCTTTTAGGGAGATAGATTAACAAAACATCACATTTCAAGCCACTCTGATCTGTAATTAAATGGAGGAGTCGGGTTGTATTCTCCTATGGCTTTTACAGAAGTTGCAGTGATCCAAAGTCAGGTTGCTGTGTCAGAGTGGCATTTTTATTAATGAGAATACAAAAAGCTTGCATATTCTTAGCCCGGCTTGAATTTAGTTGCTAAGCAACCGGTGTATGGTAATTCATCCGCGAAATTTAAATCTTTGAGAAAGGATCGTGTGTTTTGCTGAATGGCCGCCACGAGGACAACAACTTGTGGGATCTGCAGCAGCTGCCACTGAAGAGCAGCACTGGCCGGCAGCAGGGATCAGAGCAGGAGCTCTTCCTCCCTGCGGGTCTCGTTGTCCACAACCGGAGGCAGCTCAGCCTGCTCTAAACCAGCACTCCCATCCAGTATAAAGCTGGCGCACCTACACACTCAGAGGCTGCATCCTCCTCCTCACCCCTACCGCCGCTGGCCAGCTGCCACTTCCCTGTGTGCTGCATGGGCAGGCCTACCTCATCCAGAAACATGCACTTTACATGATCCATCTAAAACTGGCTACACAGCAGTCAAACTGATGAGACACTGTGCAAGGTTATTCTCTCGACTCTCCTTTCCCATCCCCACCCACCCCCACATTACCCTAGTTAATCTCTCACTCCGAAAATGTCATATACTCTGGCAGCAAAATCAACTATGGAAAGTTCAGAAGATCATTAGTTCTGCCGATAAACCGGACCGGGTGCTTTAATTACAGCAGCCCCCTAGGCCCAAAATTCTGCAGCTGAAACGCTGGGAAAATGACTCGGAGAGTTTAGAAGACACCGTATGTGCTAATAAATACAATAATCTATTGACTATGACCTACTGTGATCTAAGATTGTCAAAGTTTCCTATTAAACAGCGCATCCCTCCTATGACTTTTCCTTTCCCAGAGTGGCACGTTAGTTTAAAGATTAAAGAATGCAGCACCCTTATTTCCGTATTAAAGTCAAGGTTAAGCCCCTGATGCAGAACTAGTGGGTATGACGTCACGCGAGTGACCTTCAGCTGCAGGTTAACCACAGCCTCAAAGGGCTGACATGGCCAAGTGTCCACGGAGGCTGCATCCTCTCTGTGGGCCAAAGGCTGCTGGCTTCACTTAGGCAAGGTCTCCATTGACATCAATGAGAGTTTTGCCCCCATGAGTGAGTAAGACTCGTATCCAGCCTTTTCTTTCTCCCTCCTCCCAACACGACACATCTTGCCACTCCACATATAGTCCCATAGTAGTGTCACTTTCGCTTTAAAGATGGTTCCCCCCCCCATAATTCTTCACTGTATGTTAGCTAGCAAAAAAGACTGTCAGCCGAAAAGCTTTCTACTGCTGTGTCATTGATATCAAGGTCCCCCCTTCCACTGAAGACCTTACTCATTCAAGTACTTCAGACAACAACTGCAGATATCTATATATATTACCTCTACATCCCATCGGTTCATTTTACCCATCCATCATGCTAAAGAACAGCAATTTCCTTGCGGTATCTATATTCCTGGGTTTATAAAAATCAGACTATGGCTTATAAAATTCCAAGACCGCATTCAGGGTCAATACTTGTTGCATCTTTTTTAAAGTTTGGTTAATTACCCTGAAACTTGGCAAACTAAACTACATGTGGCAAGACGATCATCTCTACAATTTTGTCCTGAAAGTTGCCAGTTATAGATGTATTTTCTTCTATTTACATCCAAATTGGAACAAATATATCTGTATCTTAAAAGGTATATCTATATAAATATATAGAAGTGTCAATTTTTCTTTAGCTTGAAGATGTTGATAATTTATTACAAAAATAAACGAATAAATACAACAATATATTGTTGTTTTCAACAGGATAAATATTTTACAAATATATAATTTAAAAAACAAATTTAATTGTTAAAATTATTTAAAATATTACACTTATTGATAAAATTATCAATAGTATATACTGCATTTCATATTAGAACCAATTATTCTCTAAACGTTCCATTTAAAACCATTCATACAAAACAAATTATGAGCATTGTAATGTGCAAACACCAGTCACTACATTAAAGCATAAGAAATCTTTAAAGATAACTTCAGAGATATGAAACGTTGTATTTTTAAACCACGGTATAGCTCTTTGCTATGTTCCTAAAATATGTGGATCAACAGCAGTGAGGTGGCTATTTTAAATACACTTGAAAATGATTTATAGTATACAGACTAGCCGGGGAAAAGATGGGATATCCGTGAGAAAACTAGAGCGCAGTAGAGGACTGCAGAATATAAAAATGTAAACTAAAAATAATCACATCTCGGGATTACCCAGACTGATCAAACGGAACTTTGTAAAACATTTGGCTTTCCTTTAGGTAGAAAAATAATAATAAGGAAAAATGATGAAGACTCAGTTACCAAACACAGAACACTGATATTATAAATGAATACAGTTACTAAATTCATTCAGAGATCTGGCGATATATAACAATATTTTCATTATTTACATGTGTAACATTGTAACCCTTAACACAAAGCCTCTCACTTATTATCTACCTCTTATGATCCCTTAGATGAACAACCCTGAAGTTCCTAAGTACATTCAAAGGATTAAATTTCTTGGGGGGGAAGGGGGCATGGCCTCACTTTTTGCGTATGATAAGTGCACAGAATGGACAGATTTTGCACGTTCCTACTACCAAATGTTATTCCTCTAGTCTAAAAATCAGCCCTTCTTATGCAGAAAGCCGCAAAGGCTGCCTTTTAATAGAAACCAGTGTGAAGCCTAATGTTAGCTCTTTGTTGTCATCCAAATCCAGTAACCAAATACCACTAAGAAATTTAAATAGACCTACTCCATGTCTAATAAGCCACCACCCTTCATGTGTGAAAAATAGGATTCCACCTCACGTGTTAATAGTATCCACCAGATAAAAACAAATCCACAGCTTCCAAACTGGAAATCCTTTCTCTGATTTCCCTTGTATGTAGCAAAATTCATGATTCCTCCTCTCCCTTCTCTCCACCCCCCCACCTTCAAATTACTGGGAAGCTCTTAAACTAAACAAAGAGAAGAAATGAAATTGTCTTTTATCCTTTCACCTTTTCTATTATGGCCTTTTCGGATTTCACAAATCAAAACGAATGTGATATTTACTACGATCTGGTGTTAAAATAATGCATCCCAGTACACGGCTATCTGGTTGGATTTGATTTATGAAAGTGACACAAGGCCTATCTGAAAGGAATAAAATGTATGTTGTTTCTACAGCAGTTTTCTATGGTTTTAACCCCTGCATCAATATCACATAGCGAGAAAAAAGGGAGGAAGGAAAAAATGGGGGAGTAGGGGAACTCAGAGACTACTGAAAGCTTATTTTAATCAAATATAAAATATTTCTCTAGAATACTTTTTCAGGGGATACCTAGAGGCATTAAATTTAGATGTGTAGTTTCGATAACATTACCAATTCAAAATAAAGAGTTGAAATATTCATTCACTCTTGTGTATATTGCAATAAATGTAGCAGATAAATATGACAGCCTACCTAGTATATCTACTGGCATCTTTAACATTACTTATACACACACATTGGTTGTGTGCTGAGTGAAGAAAAAACTGCACTACCCCACTTCACACCTCGGACAAAAAAGCCTAAAACAAACAACAACAACAACAACAACAACAAAAACGGTAAACTATGCGGACTTGTAGGTAGGATTTTGAAAGTATCATCTCTATATTTCTGAAAAAGTACCTTTCTTTAAATTATATCTATAAATTAAATACAAATATTATACAGATATAAAATGTGACAAAATAATTTATACTTAAAAGCCCCTAGCCTTCGGTTTTTTTAGTTTGAAAAGAGAGAAAAGAGACTAAACTTTTAAAAACATAATTGTTGTCAGCATTAGTCATTAATTATCAGTCAATACACTTAGACATCTACTGCACTGAAGTTTAAACGTAAAATAAAGCAATCATTTTAAAGATGGTGGCTTTTCTCTAATCTTGCCTTACTGTCAGATTGCACAGGGATATTTATGAAAAAAAAACCCTATGGAAATTTATTCTGTATAAGGATTTATAAGAAATTAGTACTGTACTAAAATGCTAACAGCATGAATACTGGAACTCTGCATTTCCAGATACCTGAAGTAGCGTACACAAAGCAGGTTATCCTTAATTCTATCACTTAAATATTTGCAATATTTCCTTAGGAGAACTTTTTCGACACAGTGTTTATGCATCAGACACAGACTATTTCATTCTAACAAATTTATTTTCTCAATCAGCTCTTACGGAATCACTACTCAAATTAAATTACAATCAAATTATCACATCAAAAGATACCCTTATTACCTAACAACTGTCCATATTTTCATTTCATTTTGATTTGTGCTCGTCTGAAAAAAACACGTAATACAAGATCTGGGGAAAAATAAATTACCGTTTTGCAGCAGTTCATAGGTATTCTGAATAAAATATTAAAAGAAGTCATTTAATGAAAATATAAAGCAAATATTTTTAGATCAACAACGGATCTAACAATTCTATATTGCCGTCTTTTTGAAAAGTCTGTTTATTAAAACCTACCAAAAACACTGCTTGGAAATGGCAGTATTATATAATCACATCCACAGCACCCATTCAATCAAAGTTGGCAACGGATTTAGGAGAGGAGAAGTTCAGATAAGTGCAGCTGCAGATGCTCAGTCCTTCTAAATCCCTTTATCTGAATCAGTCCAGAAATAAAAATAAAAATATTAATAAAAAAAATATTAGCAGTGGATTTTTAAGGAATCTTCCATGATGATTGGCAGCCGTCAGGAGCACGACTTTGACAGCCCTAAATTATTTCCCTGTCTCTGGCTGTTTTCCTTTATTCATGCAAAGTCCTTCTATAGAGCTCGAACTTTAGGGACCAACAACCTCTCCCCATTTTTCTCCCGGTGTTTGTCCCTCCCCCCACTTCCAGGGCCAGCTTTCGGTATGCAGGTATTTATACCCATATTTGTGTGTGAGAGTATAGGGAATATATATTTATATATTGTATATATATTTATATATATATTTTCCCTATACAGTTTGCTTGTTTTTAGTGCAGTGTGCTATTTCCCTTTATGTCCCCCTGGAGAAAGTGACTCTTTTCATTTTGCAGAATACCCCCCTCTACAGAATGGATATCTTGAATAAAAAATGATGTGATTTGGCCAAGAAAAACAGGGTCCTGGAATGCAGCAGGCACCCTCCGATCAGGAAGATGATTTTGCTTCTGCTTCCCTTTTTTGGATTGCTCCCATAAAAAAGAAAAGTGTGTGTGTCAGAGAAAAAAGTTTCCGTGATTCATTCGAGAGAGCCCTATTAGGGGGCCATTTTTGGGGGTGGATGTGCAAGGGGACAGAAGAGGTGGCCACTGTAACAGGGGATATTTTAGAAATGTTTTTAAAAAAAGAAGAAAAGGAAAAAAAAACATCTGCAGTTTTGGTGCATTATGCATCTCCACTCCCTCTCCACCACAGTATAAATGCTTGCGCTGGGATAGACCTTTCCAAACGTGTGTGTGTGTGACACACACACACACGTTTGGAAAGATCTGTCCCGCACACATATATTATATATATTCAGCCTAAACGAGTCTGGATTTGTGTGTGTGTGTGTGTGTGTGTGTGTGTGTGGTGTTGCTGTTGGTCCCCCCTCCCCTTTTCCCTTTCTCGCCTCTCTTCCTTTCCCTTCCTGTTGTGACTCTCACTGCACACTTGTTTGCAGTCCATGGTGTGGGGGCGGCGTGTCCGAGTTCACGTTGCCGACCTGGGAGTAGACATCGTCGGGGGTCTGCTGCTGAATCCCCGGGGGGGTCATCCTTTTCTCTTTCTGCCTCCGATTGCAAAACCAAACCCTGACCACCTCCTTTTCCAGCTGCAGACTGTCCGCTAGGTTCGTAATCTCCTGGGCGGAGGGCTTGGGGCATTTCAGAAAGTGACTCTCCAAGGCCCCCTTGACACTCACCTCGATGGAGGTCCGCTTCTTCCTCTTCCTGCCCTGGGCTGCGATCTTGTCGATGCTCGTGGGGCTGCCCGTGGAGGAGTCGGCTTCCTCCAGCCACTTGTTCAACAAAGGCTTGAGCTTGCACATGTTCTTGAAGCTGAGCTGCAGAGCCTCAAACCTGCAGATGGTGGTCTGGGAGAAGACGTTCCCGTACAGGGTGCCCAGGGCCAAGCCCACATCTGCCTGCGTGAAGCCCAGCTTTATCCGCCGCTGCTTGAACTGCTTGGCGAACTGCTCCAGGTCGTCCGAGGTCGGCGTGTCCTCGTCCGAGTGGGGGTCGTGGTGGCCGCCGCCCCCGGGGTGCTGCTGCTGCTGGTG